CTCTCAAGAGCCATATGAGCTGTGGCCAGAACCCAACTGGTCCCACACCTTGTCTGCAGGGGAGGAAGCTGAGGCCCGAAGACAGAAGCCGGAGAATGCTGGCTGGTTGCCCAGCACCACAGGAGGTCCTTTCCAGACATCCCTCACTTGTGTGGTAGGAACTGCCCCCCCCCCCCCCGCCCCTTGCACATGAGGGAACTGAGACTGGAAACGTGGCAAGATTTGCCTAGAATCACAGAGCTTGGACTGGCGGCCTTGGGATTTACACCCAACACCGAGGCATGCTTGTGCCCAGTCGGGCCCACTCCAACCAGATCAGAGCACATCATCCCCAGTTGTCACTGTGGCATCAGAAATGTAGATTGTCGGCTCTCCATTCAAGCGATATTTGGGGTGGGAGAGCTGATTTTAAAGATGAGGATCTGTCAAGAAGGGGGTGGGGGGTCTACCACTGACCTCTGACCTCTTCAGGGACCCTGGGCGAGCTGGGGATGCCACGGGGTGGCGGGCTTGGGTGCCTCTGCATTGGGACTTCCTGTGTAACACAGACTCAGGAGCGGGTCTCATCCCAGAATGAAAGGTGAGTGACTGATTAGTTATCTGATTGCACGAAGAGCTAGTGGGGTTTCTTGGTGCTCTCAGAGCACTCAGGAAGGGCATTTTCCCTTCAAGGAGACAAAAGACAAGAAACAGTCTGGGAAAGAAGCCTTTTCCCTCCCCGCTGAAGATCATTGCTAGGAAAGGCCCTCTGGCCCCCGGCACGTACCTGTCCAATAATAGCAGCCAGTTGCATGCCTGCCTGTCCCGTGGCCCTCCCCTGTGACCACCTCGAAGGCTAGGACTCTGGCTTCCCGAGTTCCCTGAGTTCAGCACAGTCAGAGCTGACAGAAAGCTTGGGTTCAAGTCTGCTTGCTCTTCATGTTAGATGATGGCTGGCCCAGGAGACCCACGCTAAGGTTTGTTAAGGCCAAGAGTTAATGGGAAGCTCCTGCAAGCTGAGGAGTCAGTGATTTTGAGAAGGATGTTGCCCTTTTGGAAAACGATGTAAAATATTCTTTGAGTCTATTTAAGAAATGTCATGAATGCATTGACGGCCCTTCCAGAATCCACTTCAAACAATGATGATAGCGTTATGGGTTGAATTGGGCCTTTCCTCTCAGAGGTACTTTGGAGTTCTAACTCCCAGTAACTGTGAATGTGACCTTATTTGGAAACAGGATCTTTATGGAGGCAAGCAAGTTAAGATGAGGTCATTAGGGTGGGCTCTGATCCAACATGACTGGTGTCCTTATCAACAGGAGAAATCTGGAAGCACACAAAAGCATAGAAGATGATACGAAAGGTGGCGGGTGGGGGGGGGGTGGGGAGAATCAGGGTAATGCACCCACAAGCCAAGGAATGCCAAAGATTGCCACTAAACCACCAGGAGCTAGGAACAGATCCTCCTTCATGGGGCTTGGAAGGAATCAACCCAGCTGACACCTTGGTGTCAGACTTCCAGCTTCCAGAATGTGAGACAATAAGTATCTGTGTCTTCAAGCTACTCAGTTTGTGGTGCAAACTGGGGTTGTTAACGGCAGCCCTGGTAAACTACTACAGAGAGCAAACTTTCTGTTCCCAGGGCTTGTGCAGTTGAGAGTCTGACATGGTCCCAGAAGAAAGGGGCCTGGGGTCCTCACCATTTGAGGCACCTGTTCTCACTGGGGACCACCAGGAGAACAGAAACCTGCTGAGCACTGTTAATATCCCAAGCAGTGCTGGACATTTCAGATTTCCTCCCCCACTTAATCTTTCCAATATGGCTTCTTACTCCCATTTTAAATTATTATTTTTTAATGTTTATTTATTTTTGAGAGAGAGACACAGAGTGTGAGCGGGGGAGGGGCAGAGAGAGAGAGAGAGAGAGAGAGAGAGAGAGACAGACAGACAGACAGAATCTGAAGAAGCTCCCGGATCTGAGCTGTCAGAACAGAGCCCAATGCAGGGCTCAAACTCACAAACCATGAGATCATGACCTGAGTTGAAGTCGGATGCTTAACTGACTGAGCCACCCAGGCGCCCCTTCTTGCTCCCATTTTAAAGAATATAAAACTGAGTTGGGAGAGTATGTCAACAACTTGCCCAAGATTGCATAGCTGGGACCTGAAACTAGTGGAGGTGGGCCAGGCAGCCAGGAGCCATGTCACCTCCCCAGACAGAACCCGTGTGGAAAGAGCTTCCCAGAGTTCACAAGCTGCTTTTAGAGGTTTGGGTGCATTTTTTTTTTTTTTTTTTGATCTGTGGCCTATATTTCAGACCCTGGGGCAGTCTGGCCACGGGGAGGGCCCAGGTTTGTCTCCATTCTCTCCTTGAGGAAAACAGGATGGAAGGAAATGTCCCAACTCCCTACAAGGATAAGGTGTTGAAAAATCCTCAAGTACTCTCGAACCCTCATTTGCATAGGTTTTCACCTCTTATGGGGCACTTTCCCATGTGTTGTCCCCTCCCCCCTGCCCTCAGCACTGCCAGCAGATGGGAATTACTGTCCACATCTGAAGGAGGCATGAGTTGCTTTGTAAACTGGGGTTAGTGACAACAGCCTCATACATTGCTCTGACATGGAAATTCTGCCAGACCTCCCAGGTTCGAATCCCAGCTAGGGTAAGTGATACAACACTCTGTCCTTCAGTTTCTCATTTTGTAAAATGGGGATAGTGGTCGTGCCTACCTTATTATAAAAAGTGATTGCTATTACCGTTATTAATTCATTCCGCCAACATGGATTGAGGGCCTCATGTGTGGAGTCAGACTGACTAGGTTCAAATCCCTACCTTGCTACTTACTCACTGGATGACTATGGGCATTTTACTTAACCACTCTGTGCCTTAGTATCTTTTTCTGTAACATGGGGGATAATAAAAGTACATATGTCACAGGTTGATGGGTGAGGATAAGGGGCTGGTTCCCTCTAGGTGCTGAGTAAATCCTACATACTGTTGTCACTGATGTCAGAGTTATTGGGATTCCTGTTGGGTCAGGCCAAGCCTCCATAGCTGCCCTGGGAGAAACTCACAATCATCCTGGACTCCCCTCTGGAGGCTGGAAGGTCAGGTTCAGGACCAGGGCAGCCCCACCTCTGTCTTCCCTGGATTCTCCTTGACCATCCCCCATTCAGACCCAGCACCCCAGTCCCCCAAGCCCTCTCCCAGCTGCAGAGGAATGTTTCCCAAACATGCACCACATCACTAGAACCCTCCAATAGCTTTGTCACTACTCCATGCAGACCCCTCCAGCCTGCTGTCCTCCTCACTCTTCCCCAACCCTGGACCTCTGCATGGCTGGCTGCTTCCTCCATGGAAACCTCCAGTCAAATGTCCCCTCCTCAGGGGACTGCCGGCCAATGCCACCCTGCCACCCTCTTTGTTCCGTTCACAATGCTTGTTATGCTCTGATGCTATTTATTTGGTCACCTGTCCACTGGAGTGTCAGTACCATGAGGACAGGGGTCTTGTTTGTTTCACTCTTGAGGGCACCCTGGGGTGAATAAAAGCCTAACAGTGACTGCACACAAAGGGTGCTCAATAAACACTCAAGAATAAGCAAACAGGTGGTCAGGCTCTGGCTTTAGGCATCCTTTAGGAAATGATAATGCATCTTTTTCATTATGTAATAAAAGCAGCTAAACCCCACAGTGAAAACTCTGCTAGGCAATTGTCAACCATGGGCCTGGGAAGCCTTTCAAGTCATCTTGGGAAATGAAGAGGGGCGGGGCGGGGAATGTCACCTTCTCCTCCCATAAATGGCTCAGAGATGGCTCTCTTCAACCTCCTTCCCCACCCACGCTTGTCAAAAGCTGCTGGGTTTAAACACCCATGTTTCTGTTCCATATTATCGATCGTTTAATATTCAAGAGATGGCATAAATAAATATGTGAGCAATTATGTAACATGTTTGGAAACAATCTGGTTAGCCCCGGAGTGCTGGGGCGAGAAACAAAACTTCAGCAAAGCCAGAAGCCTGGGTGATCTGTGAGGCGGGGGACAGAGGTGCGTGGCCAGTCTGCCTGTCTGCTCCCTCCCCAGTTCTGTCCAGAGGTATTCCTCTCCCTCAGCCCAGGCAGAGTGTGGGGTAGTAGGCATTGAGCGCAGAATCTTGGAGGCACATCGTGGTTCCCCCTGCTCCTGTCTGGGAGGTTACTTCTCTCTGGGTCAGTCTTCCCATCTGTGAAAGGACTGACAACACCGCATGGGAAGGTCAGGTGAGACACTGACTCAGCTCTGGCTCAGAGGACAGTCTTTCTGAAGGTAAGTTGGGTCTGATGCCGAAAGATGAGCTGCATGAACTCTGGTTCCTGACATGGCGGGGGGGTGGGTGCAGGCCTGGGCTTTGAGGTTCACAGGTGTATTAATGTAAGGTGGACTGAGCAAGGCAATAACAGAGCCCCAAAGAATGGGCTTCAGGAATACAGAGAAAGACATGCTTCCCAGTGAGGAGCAGGAGAAATCTTACAGAACTGCCAGATGGGCTGGCCCCAGAAGGCTGAGTGGGATTGTGACACCAAAGAGAGGGCCGCCCCATTTAACGAACACACATTAGGCACCTAGCGTGTCTGTCCATTCTGCAAGTATTTATTGAGCACCTACTGGGTTCCAGCAACTCTGCTAAGCACCTTACATGGGTCATCTTTGCTTGGAATTCACAAGAGGGAGATGCTGCCATTGTCCCCCATTTTACATATAAGGGTGAGACTCAGCTCAGGATGACAAGTGATGCTGCCTTCCTTCTCCAACTTCTAGGCCATAATCCCTATTTAAATGCAAAAGGGATGTGGGGCAGTTTTCCCAAACCAAAACAATGGTGCATAAATAATTCATGTGTCTTCTCTGAGGTTGCAGAGGGAAGGGAGCTGCCATCAAACTCTGCTTTCTTGCTCAGCTGACCCTCCATTTAGCAGCCCCCCAACAGTGCCCTCTTCCACATCTATCCCACTCCCACCCCAGCCAAACCCATCTCCAACTTACCCCTCTGCGTCTTGGTTAAATGAAAGGCGCCAGGATTCGGGAAATGGGACCCATGTCTTGCTGGCTCTGGGGACTGGGTGATGAAGTTCAGCTCTGGAAAAGGGGAGATGGCATTGGTTAGGGGTGGGTGACCCGATGGGGAGCCAGTCAGGAAAGAATAGGAAGGGAACAGTGCAGTGAAGTGGGACCTAGGGGCCAGCACTGGGTGAGGGCCTGCGTCAGGGGTAGATGGAGACAGAGGAGAAGCAGGAGTGGCTCAGTTCCCTAAATACCTCCCAGGAGCTGACCTCGCCATATGGGGACCCACCCCCTGACTTCCCCGTCAAGACCTCCCAGGCCTCAGGCCCTCTTAGGGGAGCAAGTCCATTACCAGCAGGGTATCAGATGGGGTATTTCATCTGCTGGCTGGTGCGGCCTTCAAGGGCAGAAGGAGTGGGACAGAGTGGGCAGGGGTGTGCACAGAGGCCTTGGAGCAAGAGGCTTTATGTTTCTGAGTCTGCTTCTCCATCTGCAGGACAGAAATACTAATACCTATTATTCAGGAGTTTTGAGAGGAGTAACGGAAGTATAATATGTGTAAATGCCTTCGCTTGTAGATGTGTTTAATAAATAGCAGAAGAGAGCTAAATGTCTCTCCTGTATCAGGTTCCCTTTCTGTACCTATCTATCCATTTATTCATTTGTAACTTTCTATTTTGAGATAACTGTCCATTCAAAGCAAGCTTTAAAGAAATGTATAGGGAGGTCCAGTGCTCATTCCCCCAGCTGACCCCAGTGGTAGCATCTCACAGCACAGGGAGGTGCAGGGAACCTTCCTCTGGCTGACCCCAGTGCTAGCATCTTGTACCACGATGAGCTCTCATGCACCTTCCCCCAGCTGACCTGAGTCAACATCTCACGCTTAGTGCTCTGGCAAAACGAGGCACGTGACATTAGTACAGTCCCTGGAGCTAATTCAAATTTCACCAAGGTTACATGTACTTGTGTGTGTGTGTGTGTGTGTGTGTGTGTGTGTGTGTGTAGGTCTATGCAATAGTATCACTTTGTAGTTTTATGTAAGCCCCACCACAATCTAGATACACATCTGTTCTACCAGCATGGCTTCCTTGGGCCCCTCCTTTATAGTCACATCCGTTCCCTCCCTGCCTTCATCCCTAACTCCTGGAAATCATGATTCTGTTCTCATCTCTATAATATTGATCTTTCAATGATGTTCTATAAATGGAATCACACAATATGTGACCTTTGGAGATTGGCTTTCTTCACTCAGCCTAATTCTCTGGAGATTCCTCAGGTTGTTGTGCATATCAATAGTTCACTCTTTTTTATTGCTGAGTAGAATTCCATGATGTGGATGGACCACAGTTTATCCATTCATCTACTAAAGGAGATCTGGGTTATTACCAGTTTTTGGCTATAATGAGTAAAGCTACTATAAACATTTGTGTACAGGGTTTTTGTGTGAACATAAATTTTCATTTATTTGGGATAAATGCCCAAGAGTGCAATTGGGTTGTGGGGTAGTTGCATATTTAGTTGTGTGTGTATGTGTGTGTGTGTGTGTGTGTGTGCGCGCGCATGTGTGTTTAAAAGAAATGCCCAGGGGCGCCTGGGTGGCTCAGTCGGTTAAGCGTCAGACTTTGGCTCAGGTCATGACTTTGCGGTCTGTGAGTTCGAGCCCCACATCGGGCTCTGTGCTGACAGCTCAGAGCCTGGAGTCTGTTTCAGATTCTGTGTCTCCCTCTCTCTGACCCTCTCCCGTTCATGCTCTGTCTCTCTCTGTCTCAAAAATAAATAAAAACGTTAAAAAAAATTTAAAAGAAATGCCAAGGGAGCCTGGGTTGCTGAACTGATGAAGCATCAGACTCTTGGTTTTGGCTCAGGTCATAATTTCACTGTGAGACTGAGCCGAGCCCTGTGTCAGGCTTTGCACTGACAGTGTGCGCGTGGAATCTGCTTGGGATTCTCTCTTCCTCTCTGCCCAGCCTTCCCCCATCCAAAATAAATAAATAAACTTAAAAAATAAAAGAAACGTCCAAACTGTTTTTCAAGAATGGCTATGTACCAATTGATATTCTCACCCCCCCTATGAATGATCTAATTTTTCTGCATCCTGCTCAACATTTGGTATGATTTTTTATTTTTGCCATTCTGATAGGTGTAAAATATCTCATTGTGGTTTTAACTTGTATTTCTTTATTGGCTAATGATGTTGAACATATTTTCATGTGTGTATTTGCCATCTATCTGCACATCTTTGGAGAAATAACCCTTCGTGACTTTTGCCCATTTTTGGGGTTGGATTGTTACATATGTTTAACAGTGGAATTTTGAGAGTTTTAAAATTTATGTCAGCTACTAGTACTTTGTCAGATTCCATGGTTTGCAAATACATTCTCCCAGCTTGTAGCTTGTTTTTCTTCCTCTTGACAAAGTGTTTTGTAGTACTTTTAATTTTGGTAAAGATAACTTTATCTTTTTATCTATCTTATCTATCTATCATCTACCTATGTATTTAATTACGATTCAAGTTAGTTAACATATAGTGTAGTACTAGTTTCAGGAATAGAATTTAGTGTTTCATCACTTACATATAACAGCCAGTGCTCATCCCAACAAGTGCCCTCCTTAATGCCCATTGCACATTTAGCCCATCATCCCTCCCACCTCCCCTCCAGCAACCCTCAGTTTGTTCTCTATATTTAAGAGTCTCTTATGGTTTGCCTCCCTCTCTGTTTTTATATTATTTTATTTTTCTTTCCCTTCCCCTATGTTCACCTGTTGTGTTTCTTAAAATTCACATATAAGTGAAATCAAATATTTGTCTTTCTCTGATAGACTTATTTCGCTTAGCATAATACATTTAGTTCCATCCACAATGTTGCAAATGGCAAGATTTCATTCTTTTTGATCACTGTATCTACTTTTTATTTTTTATGGATATTTTTGGGATTAAGTCTAACGTGAATTATTTTCCTAACTTTTCTTCTAAAAGTTTTGTGGTTTTAAATTTTGTTTGTTAAGTCTATGATCCATTTGAGCCAATTTTTGTGTAACATGTGAGACTTAGACAGATTTTTTTGTTGTTGCTCTTGTTTGCCTATGGATGTCCAATTTGCTTCAGCATTATTTGTTGAAAAGGTTATTACCTTTCTTTCATTGAATTGCTTTTGTACCTTTGTCAAATATTAGTCAGTTGTGTGGGTCTATTTCTGGATCCTCTGTTCCATTCCATTAATCCATGTGTCATCCTTCTGTCAACACCACACAGCCTTCGTTTCTAGATAAGTCTCGAAATGAAGTAGGATGATTCTTCTCATTTTATTCTTCTTTTTCAAAACAGCTTCAGCTGTTCTAGCTCCCTTGCCTTTCCACATAATTTTTAGAATAATCTTTTTCACATTTACAAAAATTTTTCTGGGATTTTGATAGGAACTGCACAGAATTGACATCTTTATTATCTTGAGTCTTCCGATCCATGAACATACTAGGGCCACTTCATTCATTTAGATCTTCTTTGATTTTTCTCATCAGTATCTTGTAGTCTTCAGAATATAAGTCTTGTGCATGTTTTGTTAAATTTACACCTATATTTTTTGTGTGTGATTATAAACGACCTCGTATTTTTAATTTTGGTGCCCACATGTTCTTTGCTAGTATACAGACTACAACAATGTTTTGGTAAGTTTATTTTGTATCCTGTGACCTTCCTGAACTTGGTTATTAGTTCCAGCAGGGTTTTTGTTTTGTTTTGTTTGTTTGCCTCCTTGCTCTGGTAGATTCCTTCGGAGTTTTTTAATCTAGACAATGATGTTATCTCTACATAGGGACAATTTTGTTTCTTCCTTTCCAATCTGCATGCCTTTTCTTGTCTTGTCTTACTGCACTGACTAGACTGCCCAGCACTATTTGAAGGCAAGTGGCGAGAGCTGACATCCTTGTTTTGTTCCCAGTTTTAGGAGATAGCATTCAGTCTTTCATCATTAAGTATAATGTTAACTGTAGGTTTTTTGTCAGTATTCTTCATCAAGTTGAGGAAGTTCTCTATTCATATTTTTCTAAGCATTATATCATGAATGAGCAATGAATTTCATCAAATGCTTCCTGCATTGATGCATATGATCATGTGATTTTTCTTCTTCAGCCCATTAACATGGTGGATTATATTAGCTGATTTTTAAAAGTTAAAGCAACGTTGCATTCTTGAATAAACCCTAGTTGGTCCTGAAGCATAATTATTTTTATATATTACTGAATTCTCATTGCTAATGTTTTGTGAAGGATTTTTCACATCTGTATTCATGAGGGAGGTTGGCTTATAGTTTCATTTTTTTATGCTGTTGTCTGGTTTTGATATCAGGGTAATACTAGCCTCATACATTGAACTGAAAATGTTCCCTCTGCTTCTATTTACTGGAAGACATTGCGTAGAATTGGTGTTAATTTGTTAAACATTTGGTAAAATTCTCCCATGCAACTATTAGGTCTATTATATTAATAATTTAATGTAATTATTGATATGTTAAATTTTAAGTCTATCCTTTTATTTTTTGTTTTCTGTTTGTCTTTCTACAAACACAAGCACATCTATAAGTGTTGTAGTTTTTGCTTTGGCCACCAAACATAATTTAGAAAGCTCAAGAGGAGAAAGAATGTGTATTGCATTTAGCAATATTTTTGCTTACCATATTCTTTTTTCCTTCCAGGTGTTCTAAGATTCCTTTCTAAAAAATTGTTTCCTTTCTGTCTGGAGAACTCCTTTCTGTTATTTTAGGGCTGATCTTCTGGCAACAAATTCTCAGTTTCCTTTCATCTGAGATCTCGATTCCCCTTCATGTCTGAGGGATAGTTTTCCTGGTAATAGGGTTCTCAGTTGACAGTTCTTTCCTTTCAGCATTTGAAAACTGTTGTACCACTTCCTTCTGGCCTCTAGGGTTTCTAATGAGAAATCCACTGTCCTTAAAATTGTTTCCCCACTATCAATGAGTTGTCATTTTCCTTCCATTGTTTTCACGTTTTTTTTTTTTTTTTTTTTTTTTGAGTTTTCAGAAGTTTACTATTTTGAGTCTTGATGTACATTTCTTTGGGTTTAT